GACGCATGCGAACTGTGCCACTGGGACCTTCGGCGGAGCTCCTATGGGGCCACGAAACGTAGGAGGGGTGTGCCGAAATGAGTGGCGGGGACGCATGCGAACTGTGCCACTGGGACCTTCGGCGGAGCTCCTATGGGGCCACGGAACATGTGAGGGGTGTGCCGGAATGAATAGCGGGGACGCATGCAAACTGTGCCAGTGGGACCTTCGGCGGAGCTCCTATGGTGCCACGAAGCGTGTGAGGGGTGTGCCGAAATGAGTGGCGGGGACGCATGCGAGCTGTGCCACTGGGACCTTCGGCGGAGCTCCTATGAGGCCACGAAGCGTGTGAGGGGTGTGCCGAAATGAATGGCGGAGACGCGTGCGAACTGTGCCACTGGGACCTCCGGCGGAGCTCCTATGGGGCCACGAAATGTGTGAGGGGTGTGCCGAACTGAGTGGATGGGACGCATGCGAACTGTGCCACTGGGACCTTCGGCGGAGCTCCCATGGGGCCACGAAACGTGTGAGGGGTGTGCCGAAATGAATGGCGGGGACGCATGCGAACTGTGCCACTGGGACCTTCGGCGGAGCTCCTATGGGGCCACGAAGCGTGTGAGGGGTGTGCCGAAATTATTGGCGGGGACACGTGCGAACTGTGCCACTGGGACCTTCGGCGGAGCTCCCATGGGGCCACGAAACGTGTGAGGGGTGTGCCGAAATGAATGGCGGGGACGCATGCGAACTGTGCCAGTGGGACCTTCGGCGGAGCTCCTATGGTGCCACGAAACGTGTGAGGGGTGTGCCGAAATGAGTGGCGGGGACGCATGCGAGGTGTGCCAGTGGGACCTTCGGCGGAGCTCCTATGGGTGAGGGGTGTGCCGAAATGAATAGCGGAGACGCGTGCGAACTGTGCCACTGGGACCTTCGGCGTAGCTCCCATGGGGCCACGAAGCGTGTGAGGGGTGTGCCGAAATGAACGGCGGGAGCGCGTGCGAACTGTGCCACTGCGGCCTTCGGCGGAGCTCCCTATGGGGCCACGAAACGTGTGAGGGGTGTGCCGCAATGAATGGCGGGGACGCGTGCGGACTGTGCCACAGGGGCCTTCGGCGGAGCTCCCTATGGGGCCACGAAACGTGTGAGGAGTGTGCCGAAATGAATGGCGGGGACGCATGCGAGCTGTGCCACTGGGACCTTCGGCGGAGCTCCTATGGGGTCCGAAGCGTGTGAGGGGTGTGCCGAAATGAGTGGTGGGGACACATGCGAACTGTGCCACTGGGACCTTCGGCGGAGCTCCTATGGGGCCACGAAACGTGTGAGGGGTGTGCCGAAATGAGTGGCGGGGGCGCATGCGAACTGTGCCACTGGAACCTTCGGCGGAGCTCCTATGGGGCCACGAAACGTGTGAGGGGTGTGCCGAAATGGATGGCGGGGACGCATGCGAACTGTGCCACTGGGACCTTCGGCGGGGCTCCTATGGGGCCACGAAACGTGTGAGGGGTGTGCCGAAATGAGTGGCGGGGGCGCATGCGAGCTGTGCCACTGGGACCTTCGGCGGAGCTCCCTATGGGGCCACGAAACGTGTGAGGGGTGTGCCGAAATGAATGGCGGAGACGCGTGCGAACTGTGCCACTGGGACCTCCGGCGGAGCTCCTATGGGGCCACGAAACGTGTGAGGGGTGTGCCGAAATGAATGGCGGGGACGCATGCGAGCTGTGCCACTGGGACCTTCGGCGGAGCTCCTATGGTGCCACGAAGCGTGTGAGGGGTGTGCCGAAATGAGCGGCGGGGGCGCATGCGAGCTGTGCCACTGGGACCTTCGGCGGAGCTCCTATGAGGCCACGAAGCGTGCGAGGGGTGTGCCGAAATGAATGGCGGAGACGCGTGCGAACTGTGCCACTGGGACCTTCGGCGGAGCTCCTATGGTGCCACGAAACGTGTGAGGGGTGTGCCGAAATGAATGGATGGGACGCATGCGAACTGTGCCGAACTGTGGGACCTTCGGCGGAGCTCCTATGGGGCCACGAAACGTGTGAGGGGTGTGCCGAAATGAATGGCGGGGACGCATGCGAAGCGTGTGAGGGGTGTGCCCACATGCGGGCCACCTTCGGCGGAGCTCCGATGGGGCCACGAAGCGTGTGAGGGGTGTGCCGAAATGAATGGCGGGGACGCATGCGAACTGTGCCACTGGGACCTTCGGCGGAGCTCCCATGGGCTCACGAAGCGTGTGAGGGGTGTGCCGAAATGAATGGCGGGGACGCATGCGAACTGTGAGAGTGGGACCTTCGGCGGAGCTCCTATGGTGCCACGAAACGTGTGAGGGGTGTGCCGAAATGAGTGGCGGGGACGCATGCGAGCTGTGCCACTGGGACCTTCGGCGGAGCTCCTATGGGTGAGGTGTGTGCCGAAATGAATGGCGGAGACGCGTGCGAACTGTGCCACTGGAACCTTCGGCGGAGCTCCTATGGGGCCACGAAGCGTGTGAGGGGTGTGCCGAAATGAACGGCGGGAGCGCGTGCGAACTGTGCCACTGCGACCTTCGGCGGAGCTCCTATGGGGCCACGAAACGTGTGAGGGGTGTGCCGCAATGATTGGCGGTGACGCATGCGGACTGTGCCACTGGGACCTTCGGCGGAGCTCCCATGGGGCCACGAAACGTGTGAGGAGTGTGCCGAAATGAATGGCGGGGACGCATGCGAGCTGTGCCACTGGGACCTTCGGCGGAGCTCCGATTGGGCTCCGAAGCGTGTGAGGGGTGTGCCGAAATGAGTGGCGGGGACGCATGCGAACTGTGCCACTGGGACCTTCGGCGGAGCTCCTATGGTGCCACGAAACGTGTGAGGGGTGTGCCGAAATGAATGGCGGGGACGCATGCGAACTGTGCCACTGGAACCTTCGGCGGAGCTTCCATGGGGCCACGAAACGTGTGAGTGGTGTGCAGAAATGAATGGCGGGGACGCGTGCGAACTGTGCCACTGGGACCTTCGGCGGAGCTCCTATGGTGCCACGAAACGTGTGAGGGGTGTGCCGAAATGAGTGGCGGGGACGCATGCGAACTGTGCCACTGGGACCTTCGGCGGGGCTCCACGAAACGTGTGAGGGGTGTGCCGAAATGAGTGGCGGGGACGCATGCGAGCTGTGCCACTGGGACCTTCGGCGGAGCTCCCTATGGGGCCACGAAACGTGTGATGATGTTGACGATGCTGATGTTGATGATGATGACGACGATGACGACGATGATGATGATGATGATGATGATGATGATGATGATGCTGATGCTGATGCTGATGATGATGCTGATGATGCTGCTGCTGATGATGACGATGATGATGATGCTGATGCTGATGCTGATGAAGATGATGATGATGATGATGATGATGATGATGATGATGATGATGATGATGATGATGATGCTGATGCTGATGATGCTGATGCTGATGCTTGCTGCTGCTGCTGCTGCTGCTGCTGATGCTGCTGCTGATGATGATGATGTGATGATGATGATGATGATGATGAGATGATGATGATGATGATGATGAGAGGAGGGGAGGAGGGGAGGAGGAAGGAGGAAGGAGGAAACGCGGGGCACCGTCTCTTCAAAACGGGCACCCAACACCACAAGGTGGTTGCGAACAATGAAAAACCAACGATTTGGGCCTTTTCGGGCTCTCCCGGGACGCCTCTCGGCTCTCTCCGGTCGCCTCTTGGAGGCCTCCTGGGAGCCTGGGGAGAGACGTCGGAACTCTGTCTTGGGCTGCTTGGGAGCGTCTTGGGCCGTCCTTTCGCGTTCTGGGGGCTCCTTGGGGGCGTCTTCGGTCGTCCTGGAGCGTTTTGGGGCCTCCCTGGGAAGCCCGGGGGCGCGGTACCGGGCACTGCCCTTAGATGTTCCGGAAGAGGGGGACGCTCCCCGATGGAAGGCGTATATTGACCGCAACCGTGCCCTCTGGCACGTTGGAGCGTGCTAGAATGCCAAGTGTTGTCTCGCAAAGTTTCTGAAATCTTTAGCCCCCCCTCTACCAATGCCACAAGAGGCCTCCAAGAGGCCCCCAAGAAGCTCACAGGAGGCCCAGGAGTGCACCAAAAAGCTCCCCAAAAACCTCTTCCTCCTCCTCCGCGTTCTTCCCTCCTCGGTTTTTTTCTCCCCCACGTGCTCCCAGAAGGCATTTCCACAACGGCTGGGGGAGCACATCCTCCGATACCCTGGCCAAGCTCTGGCCGTAACGTTCGGCCGCATTGGCAGTTTCAACAAGCAGTTGGCGGTGGTGATTCGCCGTAGGCGGCTTCGATCTGTTTATACGCAGGTCAACCAACCGCATGCTGCGAGTGAACAAGTGGCGTATGGGAAGCTCACAACTGGGAGGGAGAGGCGCAGGAGTGGAGAAAGAGGAATGCGAAGAAACGTGGGCTGGAGCAAGAGGATGATAGCGCCGTCCGATAGCGGAGGAGAGGCCTGTGGGGAGTGCGAAAACTAACAAAAGGAGAAGCAGAAGGAGGAACCGCAGTCAGATAGGACCAAGTCGCACACCAAAGAATACCAGCATGACCAAATCGGCACACATGACACTACGCCCGACCATGTCGGATTCGACCGCATGCGCCCACACGACACCAGACCTCGAACGCAAGGCCATCGGACGTGAGAGCGCGCAATAAGTGAGCGATAGACTGTTCGCTGGAAGGGCAGTTGTAAAACGCGAAGGGCTTAAATAATGATTACACGTGAGACATGCTCCCCTCCCCTCATCGGTCGACTCCCTCTCGCCCAAAGACGCCGCTGGGCGTCCAGGTGCTGGGCCTCTTTGTCTCGCCAACACTGTCCCGCACTTTCTCTTCCTCTCGCCCTCTCTCAATTTTTCCTCTCACACCCTGCGGGCAGCAGAAGCACGTCTCGCCACCCCCCTCCGTCCACGTCTCCCCTCTGTCCCCCGACACCCCTTTCCCCCCCCATCCCAACCCTCGCCCCCGCCCCCTCCATCTCTGTGCCCAAACGACTCCCGGCGCCCGGCTCCAGTCTCCGCGGCCTGCACATCTGCCCAACGCCCGGCTTGGTGTCGAACAGCCAGCCTCGGCCGTCCGCGAGATACAAGTACAGGATGCCCCGCTCCCCCACCTCAGGCGAGACGGCGGGCAAGCTAGTTCGCCTACGGCAGGTTCGCGTCGCGATGATGTCTGCGTCGGTTTCTGACAGTGCCTGGACCGTTCAACCTTGAACGATCGCGGCTTTCCGAACAGAACGCGCAGATTCTTCGATGTCAGCCGACTTCGGGCCACCAGTGGCGCTCAGCAACCTTGAACGCCCGCGCTGGGGTCGCCGCCGCGTCGAAGCGGTGCTAACCTGCCGTCTGTCAACATGTCGCCCAACTTTGCGATCCGCGTCGCGCGGTCCGCGACTACCTCCGCGCTCTCATGTCGCTCGTACCCCAAAGGGCCGCGAGCTTAGCTGATAACGAAACGAAAAAAACATGAACACACACACAAGAAACAAGAGTACAACACAGAACCACACCGAAAACTGCGCGAACGAGAATCCCAAAACGGAGAATCATGGATCCCAAAACTGAACAGAACAACCAGAAAGCGCCCCCTGCGTGTTCTACATCCCCTTAGGCCGGAGGCGATTCTCTTCGCGCCCCCGCGGGTGGCCTAGGGCAAGAAGAGGCGAGGGGGAGGCCGACGAGGAGACCAGGCCGCCCACCCTCGCGCCACGCGCCACCCTCTTGAACGCCCGACAAATATACGGGAAAGAACGGTTGCAACGCCCAATAAACCAATAATGCCCAACGCAGGCAGCGGCTATCGTTGGGCAGGCGGCCTTCTACTTTAACAATACAACAGACGCAGGAACGACGGGGAGCGGACCACTAGGCGAGCACCAGGCGGAGAGACAGCAACGCGAGACCAGAGCGAGCAGCGTAGGCACCAACGAGGGCGCCCGGCAGCGGCAAAGTCGCAGGGCACACCAGCGACACTACGTGAGCCGACCTGCAATAAGCAAGCTCGTGAAGCGCACGGCGGCCTGAGGAGGACGACGGGAACCCCGAGCGCCAGCTAGGGGCGGAGAGGGAAGGGAAAGGGGCAGGAGAGAAGCAAATACCCAAATCATGTATACAAACTAAGGCGCAGCACGAGGCCCCATGAACCACCGCGATGACAAAAACCTACACGCCCTCATCGAACAAGCGGCCAAACGGCAGCACGATTACATAAATTGACACAAATGGAAACAGCGGGAGGACGACAAAAGAGGGGGCAGAAAAGGTAGGGCTGACCAGGCCCTCAAAAACGACGACCCAGACTGCGTGGGTGAATGAGACACGAAAGTATGTGCGGCGAGCCCCTGGGCAGAAGCCACACAGAGAGTGCCGACCAAGAGCAGATGAAAGCAATACGCGGACTCGGAGGCCTGCCCAGCGGCAATACCCGACTGTTTTCCTGGGCTGCGTCCGCCGGGCCTCCGGCCACTCATGAATCCGACAGTCCAGGTGGGCATGAGGGCATTGGATAATGGAGAGGAGAGAGGGGGAGCCAGAAGAGGAAGCGGAAAGCAGGCATGCCCCGGCAGGGTTAGCCAGCGTTCCGCCTCGGGGAAGCGAGCGCGAGAGGAAGAAAAGGAAAAGGGACCACGAAACGCTTGAGGTTGCGGCCCAGCGACGCGCGACTTCAAACAATATTATTGGCTGCGCCGGCAATTCCGCTGCCGCGAAGTTCGGGGGCAACGGGCCACTCGTGACAATTATTGCCTGGGCGCCGGGCGCGAGCTCAGCACAGAAAAACAACTCAAATTTGTGCCGCACTGTTTGTGCCGAGGTGATCCATGCCATCGCTAAATGACCGTTTGGAATCGAAACTGCATGCGTCGCCCGGCTTCCCAGGGCGGAAACTCGGGCACTTGCAGATTGAGAGAGGAGGAGAAGGAAGAGGAGGAAGAGGAGGAGGAGGAGAACGAGGAGGAGGACGAGGAGGAGGAAGGGGGGAAAGAGGAGGGGAACCTGCAACCCGAATTTGCTCGGACGCGGTCGCTTGAAGGTGGAGGCAACCAGGCTCATGGCTTTCCCATGTCCGCGGGTGGCCTCGCGCAGAAAACCATTAAACAGGTCAGCGCACGCTGCAAAGCCCGCGCCGCGCCTGACGGCGTCGTGTGTCCTGCGCAACGAATGGACCGCAATGTCGCTGGCCGCCGCCGCCGAGGCTGCGTCGGAATACGGGGCCGCAGCATGCGGGGCTAAACCCAGGAAATCGTCGAGACAGCCCGCGGGCGGCGGTTTGCGCAGATTCCGCCTTTTTACACAAAAAACAACGCAATGTTCGATGCTCAAGTCGGCCCTACAGCCGAAGATGACACGGCCATTGCCTTGCATGCGACGGCTCGTCAAACACCGATTTAAAACGGCGCGGGTTTGGCACGCTTGCACGCGCGGCGGCAGCCAGGCCGACGCGGCACGTACAATGCTCAACCATATGCCGACCCTGTGGGCGGGCAGCGTCGGCGAGCCCCACTGGTCCAGGCGGGCTCGGGCGCGCGCCCTCGCCGGGGCCTCAAAGCGAGGGCCGAGAAACCCCCTCGCCCTGGCCTGCCAGCCCACGCGCTCCTGGACGTCGCGCCCGCCCCAGCGTAGAAGAGACACTGCCACTCGGAGTTGGCGTTCCCGGGTTCGCACCTGTTGCGCGGCGTCGGCCAGCGAGAAGAGGAAGTTCTTGGACAACCAGGGCAGCAAACTGACTGCCAGGGTGGCGCTGCCGGGGTGGTTGATCGCCTCTTGAAGCGCCCCGGCGCGTTGCCCTCCGAGGCCTCAATTGGCCGAGTCTTGCAGCTGCGCCGCGCGAGCCTGGGCCGCCGCAGACGACCAGCGGACGTCGAGCAAGCTCTTCGGGGTGGAGAACGACGCACATGCATTCAGGAACGCGGGGGACATCCACTCCGAGGGCCCGCGGAACAGGCCCTCGCACACCGCGGCCCCCACTTTTGCAAAGGGCGCGGGCAGCGGGTCGAGCTGGAAACGAACGGCAGCGCCGAGGCCACGAAGGCGGAGTGCGCGTCCAAATTGCTGAACATCCCCAATCCTACTGCGCTCCAAAAGCTGCACCAGGCGGGGCCGACGCGGTGCAAGCGTTCCCGGACCGCGTTTGCGTCGAACGTCCCAGAGGCACCAAGACAGTCTTGCCCACGCGCAACAGCATTCCCGAAATCTCTTTTTGGGGAGCACCGTTGCCCGACCAGTTCGACAGTTACCAATTCACCGCGCCATCCTCGCAGCTTCCCGCGCCGCTACGCGGGCACGGATAGCTTCCAAGCATGTTTGCGTAGCGGTAGATGCCGAAATCGCATCCTTCCGCTCCACCTGCAAGACCACGTCGGCCTCCTGCCTCTGAACCTGTTCTTCAGGTTCGGCACAGGAGACCGCAGCATTGCGCAAAGGGTGGAGTCCCCGACGAAGTCTCGAGAGGACTTGAGCTCCACAGCGCAAACTGCCTGGCTTGCATTGAGCTGCCAGGCTTCTATCTGTGCTGCGAATACGCAACGCGCGCCATTCAGAAGAAAAGCTGGAGTGCTTCGTTCCCCACTTGCGTGCTCGCGAGCTTGTGGCCGTGGTCTGGTGCCGACGCCAAAAGTTCAGCCACTCGCTCAGGAAAACTTTCACATCCTAACACGGGGCGCTCGCTGGACCTCCCACCGAAAAAGACCAGGCACAGCGAGCACCTGAAAACCCCACAGACACCCTTGCCAAGAGTGCCAAGACGTGGCCTTGTCGAAGACCTTGTTGGGCCTCGGACGCCTGGGTGGCCTCTGGTGGGAGGCCCTCGGAAACGGCGGTAAAACTTCCGCCATGAGTCTAGCGCATCGCTGGACCTTCTCAGGGGCCCAGTCTAACTGTTTGACTTCGGCCTCAGACGGACGGGGATGAATCTGGATGGCCTGCTTGGCCTCTCGGTCCGCTCTCCAATTGGCCAGACCTATACTACGTTCTGGCTGAGGCAGGCTATCTATGACTTCCATCTTGCGACGGGCTGGCGTGTGATCAGCCGGGGCAAACTTGTGATCCCGCATATGGATAAAGCCCCCCCCCCCTTCAGCCCCCATGCCTCTGCTTCGGGGAGGTCTGATCACTGGCCAGCTTATTGTGTAACTTGACCGCGTTCATACAATCGCTGTAGTTCTCTCGCGACATCTGTGGCGCGAATATGGGCAACAGAGCCAACTGCAGCTGCCCCGCAGCTTGACTTGTCTGCGGGGGGGGGGGGGGGCAGATTGCGCCGCGAGCGATGCACTTCTGCCGCCCCAACTCGGCAAATAAGGCCCAAGAAAGAAACAACAACCAAAAAAAAAAAAATAGCCTGGCGAAGGACCCAACCATATGCAACTGTGAATACCGCAAGTGTGAATATCGTTTTCGGCGGCGCTACCTCTGGGTAGTGGAGACGCATGCGAACACCCCCACTGGGGCCTTCGGTGGAGCTCCCTATGGGGCTACGAAACGCTGCCCTGGGTGGGGGAACCGCATGCAGGCAGCCCCACTGGGGCCTTCGGTGGAGCTCCCTGTGGGGCCACGAAACGCTGCCCTGGGTGGGGGAACCGCATGCGGGCACCCCCACTGGGGCCTTCGGTGGAGCTCCCTCTGGGGCTACGAAACGCTGCCCTGGGTGGGGGAACCGCATGAGGGCAGCCCCACTGGGGCCTACGGTGGAGCTCCCTATGGGGCTACGAAACGCTGCCCTGGGTGGGGGAACCGCATGTGGACACCCCCACTGGGGCCTTCGGTGGAGCTCCCTATGGGGCTACGAAACGCTGCCCTGGGTGGGGGAACCGCATGTGGACACCCCCACTGGGGCCTTCGGTGGAGCTCCCTATGGGGCCACGAAACGCTGCCCTGGGTGGGGGAACCGCATGTGGACACCCCCACTGGGGCCTTCGGTGGAGCTCCCTATGGGGCTACGAAACGCTGCCCTGGGTGGGGGAACCGCATGTGGACACCCCCACTGGGGCCTTCGGTGGAGCTCCCTCTGGGGCTACGAAACGCTGCCCTGGGTGGGGGAACCGCATGTGGACACCCCCACTGGGGCCTTCGGTGGAGCTCCCTCTGGGGCTACGAAACGCTGCCCTGGGTGGGGGAA